ATCGATAAACGCCCCTCTTTCGCTCTCCGCCGGCTTGTGGGTTGACCTGGTTGAGGATCAGAATCTTTGAGAAGAGAGCAATTGGCGAATCACCATGCTCCAATTGCTCGACGGTCCTCTTCAACGTCGCAGTGGCCTGTTTCCCATCCCGCGCGCTGGGAACCCTGGTCTGAACAGGCCTTGCTTCACTGCGGGTCTGGGGGATGGCATCCACTGGCCTCCACTGGCCCACGCGTTGTCGCAGGCTCTAATTTAGCAGACGCTCACTGCGGCTATCGATGCGAGCCTCTTCACTCGCGATCGTGGGACTGCCGCTTCACCATTCAACTGCTTCTGCCAGGCACTTTTGTTATCCCGGCTTCCAGAAGGCCGCATAGAAAGGAGACCCTTTCCAGGGTGCAGATGTAACTCAGCGTAAGAATTCTCCGTGCCAATGGCATGGTTGGTCCAAGGCAAGCGGTCCAATATGGCCGACATACGCACCTAAGATTTGGCAGCCTCCCGTCATCTTAAAAACCGACCAGGGCGGCGCAAATTCTCCGGACGACAGACGGCCAATGCTTCCGTGCCTGGCGTGCCTGACATCTTGCAAGGCGCGATGCTACCAAGTCGGGAAGACGTCTACAAACGGCTCTCTGGGGTTCCGGGTAGACTAACGGTGATGTTGCCATTTCCACTTACAGGTCTTGGAGCATCTTTGTGATCTCATAGGCTGGCGGTGAATTGCCGTTTTGAAGGTTTGCTATATCCAGGATTGTCGACGTTGCCTTGCGAGGTCTACGAACACAGACGTTTCGAACACGGCCTTCAATCTGCATCGCTTATCTGCACGTCAACCCAACCCAACACATTCGACAAGACAGACCCATGTCGCCGGGAACCATAGAATACTATCAGTGGAGGCTTGTCTCGTTCAGAAACGGCAACCGCTTCGTCTCCTAGTCATCCCCTACGGCGAAATAGATATGTCAGGCTCCAGTCGCTGTGGAGTGTTCCTTGAGCCCGCGGTGAGATTCGCCTCCTGTAATCATTTCTAGGTAACCTCGTGTGCTTTGTCCGACCTTGGGTTCCTCGGCAGAAGGATCATGACCGTTGTTACCGAATTCGCGAGCTGAGTTGAAGTGGATCATGGAAGGCGACTTGAAGCTTGACTGTCCTAATTTGGGTGATTTTACCATGCAAGTTCTGGCAGCTCTGAGAGCCATTCAACCATTGACAGTGGAGGATGCGATCTATAACCATTTGCACAGCCTCCAAGAGGCTCTTTGTGGGGTTTTTGCCACTTCGATAGTCCAACCTCGAACGTCTTGACAGTAAGGTTATCACTTCGTCGGATGCCGTTCTGCGATACCGATATGTTCCTATCAGACAGTTCGGCGAGGAAGATCTACTCAAGGAGCTGTCTATATGTTTCTAAATTTAAAATCTGTTTGGGATTCTGGGGGCGTTGTGCGAATGCGGCAAGGCCAGTCTCCTGTCTGCAGGCTGCGAGGCGAAACAAACTCATGCGGCGATGGTGATCTTCACCCAAACGGGCCATCTTTTCGAGGAACAACGCACCGCCATTCGTAGATGACTTATTGCCACAACGTGGCTTCAGATCACCGCGGCTCTTAGAGAATCCGACGACAGTGTTTCCTCAATTGGCCTTGGGGCTTCTAAGCGATGTCTGCCAAAGTGGTTCTTCAGCTGCTTGACGACATGCTTCGGTAAGAGCGAGTGCTCTCTGTAAATGTCGACTTCGAGGTAGTAATGTGGTACCGAACACGAATGCGAAGGAATCCAGGGGCATGTGTCGCCTCAAGAGGCTGACACTTGCTCTAGCCTTGCCAACTTGAGACAGACACCATGATCATCTCCCGTTGATATCCCCTTAATCGCCACGACTACTTCGGCAGAGAGCGAGGCAACTGCAAGGGTTCATGATTATTCAGAGTGTCATAAAGCGAATCAATCTGGAGGAAGACTCCCGACCGTCCAATTAGACCCAGACGTGTCCTCCCCGCGGATCATCCGCACCGGGACCCTTGCCTAGAAACGGGTTGATGCTGTTGCTCCCAATGCTCTGGAGGTTGGACGACGATGCGGATGTTGATGATAGTCAGGAACAACCTCGGGCAGAATGCAGAATTCTATTCTCGTCAGGCTGCAGGATACTGTTGCTCTTGGCAACCTCGCCTTCGTCCACGATGGGCAAATCCCCTTTTCGAGGACATGCCTCCTTCCCCAAACCGGCGACAGCCCGACTTGTCGACCCACACACCTCCTCCCAGGAGAGCGGCCACGGGGGCTCGGGACGACGCGGTCTTGGAAGCTCATTGGGAGGGCCTGAGTGATCATCATTTGACCACGGTGTAGCATCATTGATGATTGTCCTCATCTGTCTGTAAGGGCCGGCGCGTCTAACGCCCACACCCCCTTTTTTCCCAGCTTCAAGTGGATGCAGGAGAAAGTCTTTGCTGGCGCCCGGTCAGCCAATACAATGCCCTGACGAAGGATCGGATGCGGCACATTATAGGGAGTTTTGGGTTGAACAATAGCAGACAAAGCATAATGTTTTTCTGATCATCAACAGCGGCCAGGTAGGTCAACCTCTGATGCCAAGTCCATATTGGGCCAACTTTCAGATTTACCCTGACCAAGCTTTTTGCTTTTCCCGCCTGACAGGGCCTTTGGGGCGGTGGATGCGCTGGCTGTTCGTTAACCCCAGACAAAGCAAAAGAATCCAGCGCGGCACGTCTTCTGATCAAGTGATCTACAGGCTCAATGCGTTGCGGGACCACGCGCTCTGGGGGACGGAAATGGTCAGCCCGGACCGCTTGGTCGGTTCCCAGGCCGTTGGGTGAGGAGGCGAGTCGTGGGATGGATGGACTCGCTTCTGCGTTGGGCTCGTCCAGGGTTGGCAGGTGTATGCTCCGCTGCAGTGTTCCTGCTCTGTTGTCCTATCTAGCCCTGTCTTGGTCGTAGACACCCGACGGCCGTGGCCAGATGCCAGCTCTCACGGCCACTACCGTAGCCCTAGCCCCTTTTCCTCGCCGCTAAGGATGCTGCTCTTTCACCGCCCCTGAGGATCCAACGTCGAGGTAGAGGTACGAAGTCATCGACAGTGTGACTTCTTCCAGTCTCCTGGACGAGTTGGTTCCTGCTCGTAGATCTCAGCCGCAAGCCAGAGACGTTCACTTGCCTCCTTGGGGACAATGTTGCCTCTCTATAGATAGCATTGCTGCATTCAATGGACGGCTAGTGTCTCGTGTGTCTCGTATCATTCAAGTGATCTAGAGTCGTTCGGGGGAGTTATCTCGTTCCGGCCTGGCCTAACGTCGATACCTTTTATTCTCTCGTCTAGGTGGCTGCTAGGGGTTCTACTGGAGGTTATTGCCTTTTACTCTGTAGAGAGCACGCAAAGTTCGCTGGCAGTGCTGGAGCTTGCTCGTGTGCTTTGGGACAAACTAATATTTGCATGTAGGTAGGCAAGATGCCGGAAGAAATACTAGTCCCATCTTCCAAATGAAATGCACTAACACTGACAAGTCTGGTACTCAGCTGATAGTAAACACTGGTAGTAAATAGGAAAACTCTGGTTGATGTTGGTGTACTTTCACCAGTAGGCGGGCTGTTATTTCGTCCCACGACTTGGTAGGAAGCAGATAGTGGCAATAGATGATGTTAGTGGCAAGACATTACAATGCTCCTTTTCTCCTGGTCATCTGGTTGACAGTATGAGTAAATTAAACCCATTATTCTAGTGTTCGTGTATGCGCAGTTGATGCTTTGAACGCTCTTCATTCACTGAGACGTCTGATTACCCATCCGCAATCTCATATCACAGGTACTCAAGAAGAGCCAGTATTCGGGATTAACGTTCAATTTCCTGATGAGAGATAACTATCTGTATATGTCACAAGATCTGACGAACATGTTGCTCGAAGACATGCCGAACTTCAGTTGTCAGAAACTTTAATGACCAGAGGTGCATCCATCATCATCATCAATAGCAACTCGACCTGATTGTCAATGAAAGGGACCAAAAAGCAAGACCGGGAGATCTGGAAGAGACCGGTGAGTATGTTCACCAGCCCACAGCTGCATTACCCCAAGCGTCTTTCTCGGGCTTGGACTCCTTGGAGTCACCACCGTGACCGCCCCAGGCACCAGAAGAAGGCTGACCACCGTTGGGTGCAGAATCACCGCCCCAAGCACCAGAAGCTTTGGAACCAGCATCACCACCACCGGTAGTATCTTTAGATGCATCACCAGATGCACCCCAAGCATCGCCAGCGTTGTCACCGCCACCGCCCCAAGCATCGCCAGCATCACCAGCACCGCCAGCAGCTGCTGCCTCACCCCAGGCATCACCTCCGCCCATCTCGTCCTCCCAGTCAGAGTCCGCCTCAAACTTGAGCTTCTCGCGAGCCTCTCCCTCAGGAACATAAGACTGCAGGAACTCAGGAATTTCCTGCTTTGTCTCGAGAAGGGTGCGTGTGAGAACGCTCGCCATGGGCTCGTCTCTATCAGTATAGAAAGACGTGGCAAGACCACGATGTCCGATGCGACCGGTGCGACCTTATAGTTGTTAGTATCATGAATCAATATTGCAATACTCGAACCTACCGATGCGATGGGTGTACTCCTCAATGCCGCCGTGATCCAATGAAGGAAGGTCGTAGTTGACGACGTGCATGACGTTTCTCACATCTATTCCCCTGGAAGAAACACCGGTGGCTATCAAGATTGGAGCCTTGCCAGCGCGGAAGGCACGCAGGGAGTCCTCACGCTCTCGCTGAGTACGATCGGAGTGGATGCCAGTGCACGGCAAGCCCTTGTTGAATAAGAAATCATCCAACTCGTCCACCATGGGCTTATAATTCACAAAGATGATCGTGCGGGCAGGGGGCATAGAGCTCAGAAGATCGAATAGCGCCTGCTTCTTCATGGCTGGATCAGTAAACACAATCTGCTGCTTGATGTTCTCATGTGTACTGCCAGCACGGCCGACGCGGAAGCGGACATGAGTCTCAGCAAGATGCGTCTTTGCGAGATCACGGATCTTCTTGGGGAAGGTAGCGGAAAATAGCATGTATTTCACATTGCCCTCCTCTTGCTCTATGAAGTGTGTAAGTGACGATTCAGTCATTGAGCAGGGTGGACTTACCTCCTCCACCAAGGATCTTCTGAAGATCTTCCTCCCAATCAGAATGCAACATCTCATCAGCCTCATCAATGACCATGTAACGAAGACGACGGAGAGTCAAGTTGGCCGGACGATTCATAAAGTCGATCAGGCGTCCAGGAGTAGCAACCAGAATATCACAACCCTTCTCGAGCATCTTGATCTGCTCACGAACCGAAATGCCACCGTAGAGGACGGCAGGACGAAGCATGGAGCGGTAACAGAATTTGCGCGCCTCAGAGAAGATCTGGACCGCAAGCTCACGAGTCGGGGCAACAATGACAACCAGGGGTTCGGCACGAGCAAAGTCAATGCCGCTCACGAAGGTGGCAGGGTTTGGACGTGGAGCTGCGAGCTTTCTCGCCTTTCCCATCAACTTGTTCAGGATGGGGATGAGATATGCGGCTGTCTTGCCAGATCCTTCGTTAGGTCAGTCCCTAAGTCCATAGTCATGTTGGGGGTATAGGATAGTATTACCGGTTTGAGCGATTGCGATGACATCGTAACCCAGAGTAATCGCAGGAATGCAGTACTTCTGAATAGGAGTCGGCGCCTTGTAGCCAGCCAAATCAACGTTCTTGCGCATGGCAGGATGGAGGCCAGCATCATCGAACTTGTAGATAGGCTCGACACGCTCAGGGCCCTCTTGATACAGCTGAATCTCAGCAATCCTAGTAGACCATTAGTGGATGTTTATGAGGATAATTCCATTATGAACTTACTTGGAGAAGTCAATGCCCTGAGTCGGCTCACGACGATCAGAGGGTCCAAAGAGCATGAGCTCCAACTCCGGGTGCTCGGGACCAATCTCGCCTTCCTCACCATCCCACTCGTAGATACGAGCGTTTCCATCCCAGTCACCGTCGCCGGGACGACCGAGATTGTCATAGTCGTAGGCACGGCGCTCAGCCCAGCCAGAGTTCTCATTGCCACCATCACCAATCTTCACACCATCAGAGGTTTTCTCATTGGCGCCGCCCTGGGCATCAGGCAGGGCAGCAGCCATGTCGGAAGTTCTCCAAGTGTCATCACCCTGGCCACCAACAGGGGCGTCGTTGGTGGCCGGAGTGGGAGCGCCCCAACCTGACATGTTGTCGATTGAAGTTCGGAGATCTCTGTGGACGGAACTTGTGAGTATCTGAGACGAAACGTAAGAGATCACTCAAGTGTGAGATAGGGGTTGATTGAGATGACACAGGTATGCGATTGCGTTTAGGTGCTACTTCGTGTGATTGTCATGGAAGATGAACAAGTGAAAGGAAAACGCGTACCTTGCTCGACAAGACGACGTTAAGGAAGAATCCGTGAGATGAGATCCAGACGAGAAAATCTGGACAGAACTGTCTGGCGTTAGTTGATGGCCGCTCACCTGGGCGGCGAATAAGTAAAAAAAAAAATGACAGCCGGGGAAGTTGCGCTTGCCCTCAACGGCGAGCTTGAAGTGAAAACCTCCCTTAAAGGGGTGGAGGAAAGAAACGATAAAAGTATGCAATGTTGATGCCAAAGGAAAGATATATATGCTGACAGGTGCCTATGTTTGTGGATGTGACAACGGGGAGTACTCAACTGGAGCTGCGCTGTGATTCTCCGCGTTATTTCTCGAAAGAAAATCGCGAGACGAAGTTTGTGGCAGTAGAAGATCGTTGCGGTTGGAGATGAGGAAGCCAAGGAACGGAATAATAGAGACACGATCTTGATGAGACTTGGGTTAGGGCAGATGGAGGCGGTCACCAGGGAGGCAGACACATATATAGCGACGGGCTGGCTTCACGTGGAGATCTCTTCGCGGGCTGATGTGATGGGGAGGATAATGGAAGCGCACGAGACCAACTGAAGATAAGGAAGAGAGGTGATGAGGAAGGTGGTAAATAATTGGGTGATGACTACGTACCTGATCTTCGTTGATATCAACCTTGCATTTGGTTGAGATCACGAAAGAGAAGAAGCGTACGTAAAAGGCTTCCTCAAGTTTGATGGTGAGAAGAAGAAGGAGAGGATGAGGTGGAAAGGGTGCAAGGTATTTATTCTAGGGGAAGGAGGAGTGGAAGGCAGTGGTTAATATAACGATCTGGGAAGGAGCCCACTGGTTTGACAGAACTGTATGGAAGGTGTGCTTTTGATGATGGTTTGACCCTGAAGAAGAGCCTTAGTAGATAATTCTCTTTGGTCGACAGTCCCTCAATATAATATCAAAGTGTGTACTTGTCTTGGAATGACCAACTCTAAACTGAGAAGTAAGAGCTAAAGCCTTATGTAAACGCTTCGATTGGCACCACTTTATATTGAGTACCACAGGGAGTAAGAAATCGATGATTTCTATACGTATCTGCCCCTGTATGTGTAGAGACACAGCAGTGACTATCAAGAGCATAAGATAATATCCCTTCCATCTTAAATATGAATAAACGAGTCCTTTCATCTAGTTCGCCGTCAAGGCAGCATGCTACTAATTGAGCCTCAAAATAAATGGACTGAAATCCCAGCTACCACTCTTTTGGAAGGCCTAGCACGGATCATGTCGTCCGATATTTTAGAAGTCTAGGCTTGGAGATTGAATCACTTGAATTCTATGCATGAAGAAATGATAGGACACTGTCTTAGCCGTACATTGAGGGACCATAGGTGACGATAACAGTTAGCTAGTCTCATTAGATTTCATACCTGCTTCGTAATGTACAGTGACATGAAGATGGTAACCTAGCGCCAGAACGCCAAAACCCACAGACCTATATACCCATGACCTCGTTCAGTTCTTCGACATGCTCATAATCTTCCATACCGTCTTTGAGAACCTGATCCAAGGCTGCTGCTGCCCTTCCAACGGCCCCGCCCTCCTTCTTCGCCTCATCAGTGCCTTTCGTTATGGCAGCGCTCCATTTGTAGAACGCCCGTTGGCGCTCCTCCCGATCGGGGCACATTTCTCCGTCCTTGTCGCGAGGCGGACCAAAAAGCCCCAGGTAAGCAAACGGAGTTGTGCCCTTGGGGATGCGGTATAGGTTGTCCCAATAGTCTCGGTATCTCCAAGACTGGACCTCTTCACGCCGGAAGCCGGCGTCGAGAAATCGTGCAAGCACGCTGATCTGGTGAGCGTACGAGGCACCGCCTTTTGCTGCCCCAAAAGTGGTCTTCGGAGCCGAGGACCAGCCGTCTTTCTTGCCCGAGACTGGAACGAGAGATTTCCAGCCGAGCATCGCGGCGAAGGTGTCGAGGGTCTTGACCCACCCGCCTGAGCAAGCCACCACCTCCTCGGCGGCGATGTCGAGAAGCCACTCCATCATGTTGAGTGCGTCATCGCGTACCTCGGCCGAGAGATTGGTCATCCCCATGCGAACCCATTTGATGACTTTCTCGGCGTGTGGCCGGACTTCAACGGCGGGCAGGGTGCGGAATAGCTTCAACAGCCGACTCCGCACACCTCCGGAAGTGTCAGCGATCAGTGGTAGTAGCTTCTCCAGCACAGCCCAGGTTCCCACTGGGTTGTTGGGAGGGTTTGTTGATAGTTGGCCAGTAAGATAGGACAATGCATCTCGCCTCTGGCTATCCGTCCGAGACGTCGCTAACGACAAGTTATGCTTGAACTGCTCTGCTGGGTCGGGAGCATCAGTCGCTAGAGACTGTTGGTTGAGTACGATGGCTGCCAAGCGTGTAAGTATCTAGAATGACTGTGGAAGTTATGATGCTTACACTTTGACTTGAAGCTTGTGTCTGTGAAGTTTGCGGCCTTTGCCTTTGCCTTGCCGACTTTCAGCTTGGTTTTCTACAGTCCAATTAGTGAAATATCCTCGAAACAGAGTGGAGGGGCTAGCATCTTCGCACCTGGAAGTCCTTCTTCTTCTCCTTCTTTTTCTTGGCACTGGACCCCATTGTGAAATCATTTGCGATCACAAATGACTAAATGCCTTCCGAGCACGAAGTAAGGATCATCACGGCAGACACTCCTCTCATCATGAGTTCAAGGCTTGATGCTCTGGGCTGTAGTGGGGAAACTTTTTAGCGGTGTCGAAAGGCAGAATTTGATCATTGGCGGGTGGCCTTCCATGTGCTCCCCATCATTAGGTAGGTACAACCAAGCTGCCATCGATGACTACCTAGGTAGCTAGCTACAATTTGCCAAGTTACAACGGGCAATTGTTGCTCGGTAATCGCCGAACACGATGTCTGACCAGACAACTGTGAGTATACAATTTGATGGTCTGCAATTCAATCTTCAAGCTCACGGATGGCTACAGTCAAACGGCGCCGACGCGTTGGAAGAGACGCTCGGCCGGCTTCTCAAGAAACCCGGCGTGAAAGCCGCGATTGCTCTGGACCGAGCTTCAGGCGCGATTCTCAAGACGAGCGGCCAGATATCCTCGATTCGCACATCGAAGCCACAAGCCGCGCAAGGTACTGGTTCTTTTGCGACCGACGCAGCGACAGGACAACCTAGCGAGACGCAAGGCGCCGAGGAGCTCGCGGCGATGGTATGGACATTTGTCAGTACGGCAGGTAGTCTGGTACAAGAGCTCGATTCAGAGGTGCGACTTTGGCGATATTATTTCTACGGGTGCATGAATATGGCTGACAGGATTGCAGGATGAGCTAAAGCTGCTAAGGCTACGGACGAAGAAGCAGGAGCTCGTCATCGTTCCCGATTCGAAATATCTCTTGATCGTAATTCACGACACGCCGCCGGCATGAGTACACTATCAAATGAGGTAGATGGCCGTTGATTCTGCGATTGGCTCTTACCGGCTCAGCGGTGTGCGCTGGGCTGATGACATCTAATGCAAAGTAAAAGGACCTAGATGCGGGCGAAAGGGGCTCGAATAAGACCGAGCAAGTATGCGGATGGATTCATTGGCGTAGAGGAATTTGATACCCCAAATTGCAAATATTCAGGAACTCGGCCAAAAAGGGCATCCTGTCGCCTGGGACCGTCAATCATGTGAACGCCTCCTAATAAGACTCAAACCAGCAATGTTCTTCCGGTAATCTGCCCCGAGGGATGTGGGAGCGCGAGATATTATCATGTAGGCGGAGACGCAAAACGGCGGTGGGATGGCGTCCGCTGTTTCAAGGAAGGACAATTCAGCCTATCGGTGCACCGAAATGAGCGGACAATGCTGAGTTATTCCTGTCCCACGTCCACGCACCACCACCCATACACGAAGCGAGACTGGTGTTTCCAACGTCCTTCTAAGATGTCTTGGCAGCTGGCTTAGTGTGGTGGACTGATCGTCGATGCTGGAAATCGAAACGTCCGCGGCGGCAAATGGCTCCTCTTAGCAGAATGTCGTAGACAGGGCATCATACAGGTCTGCTCCACCAGGGTAATAAACGCTAATCATCAAAGGCTACAGTATCAACTGAAAAGAGCCAGCCTCTGGTTCGTCAATGAGAGAGAATATTTCCAGTCATACTCGCCTCCATCAGTTGTTTGCCTGGTTCCTCTGTGCATTGTACGCTCAGGAAACTTGCTGACCGTCTGTTGCATCGTATCGATCGCCTAGCTGCACACTTACGGTAGTGATACCGTGTGAATTGCGTCAGGTTCTGGCTGGATGAGGCCTGGACAACCTGCAGACCAACTAGCTTGCTTTCAGCCTGCAGGGCGTGACCCATTCCACCCACTCGAAACAGAGCCAAAATCAAGTGAGAGATGCGTGGCATGCTCGCTAAATCACTCCGGGAGAGTGAGCAAGGCATCGCGTCTCATTAGCTGAAGTGACTCCTCCTGGGGTGGGTGAGGCACCCGGGCACCACCTACCATTATTGCGCACTTATCGCAAGCGCGGCATGTCTATAACCAAGCTTGTAATGGGGGTTGAATAAGAAACCTGATATCAGTCAGGTACCTTGCTCTGCCCTACCAAGTCGCGAGATAGCTGGCTTGGTAGGTAGATTCCACAATTCGACTGGCATGAGACGGGCTGGATCGAGGATCATATAAGTGTTAGATCTGAGACGGCTGTTCCCTAGAACAGTGGTGCCTTTTGGCTTTCCCATTTATACTTTGCAGCTGAATTCGCATGATCTCGAAGGCTTTCCTTCGAATGTCGCATCCAAGTGCTCTCGCCACAATCCGTTTATGACGTTGCCTCTCCCAAACGAAGGCTCCCTCTGCGTTGTCTGCCCCTTCGCTGCATGCTGCTGCCGGTTCCCGTCGCAGGTGGTATCTGGGTATCTGGGCTGCCGCTCAATAATCGACATTATATTGCAGTCAGCGCGGGCAACGTCTGACGAAGCGAGACGATAGAAGCGCTGCACTGAGCTGGACTGTCCTGGTTGATGAGTGATCCCACTCCCCGCCTACTTCGCCGAAGGTAGCTTCCCGGCGCCGAGCAAAAGGAAGGCAGGAGACATGCCGTCACTCGGTTCCTTACTGAGGAAGTCACCACGCAGCAGCGATGCACGGAAGCTGCAGCACAATGGCGACGTCACAACGACACCGACCCAAGGCGAGGGCATCGACAAAAGCAATGGCGCGCATCTTGGACCAGCAACAATAGCACCAGCACCGTCGCCTGCAATAGATTCTCAGGGAGTAACAAGTGCTGGCACCAGCTTCTTCAGCACGAGTCCAAGCAATAATAACAGTACCAACACCAGCACCACGGGCGTCAGCGCCGTCGCTCCCAGCAGTCCAAGGGAGCGTCGGTTCTCCAAGCGAGACATTCTCCACGACTTTCTCAGCCGGTCAATTCGCGGAACCAGCAGTAGGTCTGGATCTACGTCGGATTCGAGCACCGCCTCGGCCTCAACCTTGACCCCTCAGCGGGGAAACTCAGAGTCAAGTTCGCCCGCGAAACTGGTGAAACAGCGAAGCACAGCGGTAAGTATTATCTTACTCATCGATTCTATGATCGAATTCAACGAAACACCCTCCTCTTCAACGTCTTCTCCTCGGGCGCCTTACTTCATGCGGGCCTGCAGATATATGCAAGCTTGGCTACCCCAGACTGCAGCATACCGTCTGTCTTGGGATCGTTTTGGGGCTGCATTTACAAGCGTGATCAGCCATTGCCCTTGCGCTTCTGGGCCCTCGCGTGATCAGTTGGGTTTTGCGTCTGCGCACCTCCGTACATCATACGAGAAGCAGCTCACCACTTAAATACCCATAACTCCACACGCCTTGGCTGGCCTCCTTTAGGCGCTCAAACGCTCTTATTGAATCTTGCTCCCAAGTGCATCGTTGAAAACTGGCAAGCTAGGCCATTGCAGCTGACTTACACCTGTTTTTGAATGTGCAGACCTCCTCCTCGTCACCACCTCTCTCTACGGATTCTCCTCTTTCCCCAAAGTCGCCTGTCAATTCAAACAAGCCGCTGCCGTCTCCCCCTCCGCCTGGCAGTGAGCAAGCGACCGGGCCTCCGCCGAAGCCAGTTCTCAAACTCGAGAGAATCATGGCTCCTCTGACCGAAGAAGACCTCGAGGCCCTCTTCTCAGGTGCCCCGCAGTTCTTCGCCCGCTCAGAGGGGCACTTCACTGGGGCGCCGCACCCGTCTGTGGCGTTTCCGTGGGATGAAGAACTGGAGATTCGAGATCTCACTGACCATGTCCAGATAGAGGACCAGGCATGGAATTACCTTACAGCATGGCCCCACATTACTCGCGATGTCCACCGTGGTCCGTCTGCCGCTGTCTCCAAGAAAGTTGCCGAGAAGAGACGGGCACACTTCTACCCGCGCTGTCGCGAGCGGCCCAGCATGCTCAGCATGCAGGGTCTGGAGAAGGGGACAATGGGTTACCAAGCTATTTTAGAGCTCGGCGTTGCTGATGCTCTCCAGGAAGAGCAATTTGGTTTTGATAGCCTTGGCACGAAAGCTCATGTCATCGTCGAAGCTCGACAAGAGTTGCTGCTATCAAAAGACGGCTTGCGGCACATGGAGGAGAATAAGATCTTGGATCAATTAATCAAAAATGGTCAGAGGTACTCGGAGAAGCACCTGAGAAACAGGACCATGACCAATGAACTATACAAGGAGCTTTTCCTTTTAATTTTGCATCCTCCGAGCCGGGTGCTAGATCACAGCGATCCTTACAGTCTCTCGGTTCAGATCAAAGCGTTGTTGAAGGTGTTGGCGACGCCAAATGTGTGGATTGATTTCTCCCATGTCGAGTGGCGGATACGGCTTGGCCAGATTTTGTGGGGCAATCCATCCGAGGATGATGTTGAAGATGGTGCTTCAATCAAGGATGCTGACACTATGGTGGATGTGCAAGAAGAGAGATATTGGCTCCTTCTGCAGATTATGCTGGCATGTGAACTTCTCATCCGCTTAGACGCCATCACAGAAGGAGATGAGCTTGGCATGGAGAATATCAAGCCCGCGGAGGTGCATCGCTTCGAGAAGGATGCTAATAGGTCTGTCAAGTGGTCTTTGCACCTTGCGAGAGCATGGCTGGAAAATATTGAAGTTACCAGGTCAAAGGCTTTGGACTTAGGACAACAGGATAAGCCTCAAAAAGGATTGCTGGCGCTGCTGACCAAACGTCTGTCTCTGACGAATGATCATGGAACATATTCCCACTCTAACCACCACCATTCCCATAAAGAACACCATGTTTACGCCATGAAAGGAATGCATTGGCAGAGGCAGGTAGACGGTCTGACACACTTCGCCAGGAAGCTCAGGTGGCCAGACATCGAAACGTACGCGAGTACGATTTCTGAAAATTGTCGAGCTGTGACAGAAGGCACACCTCTGAACACGCCACTGGCGACACCGTTGACGACCGACACTGATACACGTCGATCGTCGTACTTTGGTGGCACCGCCAGTCTTACTCGGAAACCCTCTCGACGACGAAAGCTCGGCGCGGCTCTGCATCCTTCCGGCTGGTTATCCAAGAGCTACATTTCTGGTCTGATGCTTCCCGGAGAAGGATTGTATCATTTTCTCATGTCAACACTGCTTGAAAATGACGCAGAAGCAATGAAGAGGCTAGGTCCGATGGCAAATCTTTGTGGTGGGTTTGTGTACTCAGGAAAGAGTTTCTGGAGCACTGCCTGTGTCGTAGGTCGGGTGTTGGCAGCTGGCAAGGGCTCTGCGGAGTGCATGGGCTGGATCTCCAGTGATATTACTCCTCAAGGACTTGGCGATGGTTGGCTCAATATCGAGGTTGAGGAAATCCCAGGTAAGCGCGCCGAAAGCTAAATTTACTATGCCGAGCAGCTATTGATCTTGCAACTAGAGGATGCAAAGCACGTCGGCAAACAAGCGCGACTGTGGGGCAAGACAGCCATTGAGCGAGACTCTTCAGTGCTCGGGAGTGCAGATCCATCTTCGGTTCTTCCTGCCGATTTTATCATTCCCTTCGAGAACAAGTATAGCGAACAGCCACCCACGGTGAGTGTGGAGCTCAAGGCTCTGAACTTATTTGCTCCAGTGGACTCGGTCCATACAACACCTACCGAGGAGGCTTTCACCCCTTTCACCGAGGCCACCGTCGCCCCTGAGATCCACAGCTACCCAGCTGCGATCACCTTTGGAGTTTCATTGGACGAAGGCGTAGAGCAGCAATACACTTTTGCCCTTTCGAGCGACGTCTATTTTGTCACGGCACACCCATGTGTACCTTCTCATCATGTCAGAATCCTCAAATCGCCCTCCAGTCCCACAGTTCAGCAAATCGATGTTTCGGATTCTGGGATATCAGGCAAGCCGTCCAACACTGTCAATGTGACAGGTAAGGCCATCTTCACCAATAGTCTGACCAGTATTGTGCTAACTGCGTTGTAGGCCATCCTCTACACAAGAATTATACTTACACCTCACTACACTTGTCTGAGTTGCTAGCGAAGAAGGACTTTTCGCTCGAGGATTTTTTGTCTAATTATTCTTCGACTACCCCGATACCAAGCTTGACTCCGGCGACCACGGGGAAGTCGCCGAAGGTACTCGTCGTCGACTGCATCACTGGCTTCCTTCCGCAGCCGCAAGCACATGAGATCCCGCTAAGCCCGGTGTCGAGCCGCACGAACACGGGTCTAAGTAACGCGAGCTCTGAAGATATTGGTGAGAAGAGTGGGACTGAACACAACATGCACTCGGAAAGCCGTGCTCGACAATTTGGCTCCGATATGGAGATCCTCGTGCGGGCGTTCTGTGCTGAGAAGGGCTGGAATGCAGTCATCAGTCGACGACGTCGAGGCTGTCTAGCCTGTGCCATCCGGGAGGCAGGTGCCTTGGGTTGGAAGGTCGTCATTCGAGTGGAGTAAAACGGTTCGAAATTCTGGAACGGAGTAAGGGCGGGTGTTGGCAAGAAATGGACGATTCATGAAGCATACAATAATTGGAGCGGGAAAGTCATATATGAGAGAGCGATGATCAAATAGAGGTACTGGTTCAAGTTCGTGTATGTATAAATGGCTGACTAGATACCCTGAGCGAGTAACATGGAGTAAAAAGTGACGGTTCTCATCTCCAAAATGGGAAATATGCTGCGTAGATTCTCAATACACGATCTTGCCTCCTCTCATTCTTTCGTAAATAGCGTTGCAATTCCACGTCTCATACACATAATGATTGTCCTCTACAAGTCCGCACTCCACTCCTTCCAGCCCTTCTTCTCGCCGGGAAGGCGAATATCCTCCCACTCCTGGCGGGTGACGTTCTGCCACTCCTCGACGGGAATCCAGCCGATGTATGCCCTGTCACCAAAGCCGCCGATCCAATAGATCTGGGTCACGACCACGCGCACGAACTCGGAGCTGTGGATTCTGTTGCCCGGCAGCCAGTACTTGGCGTCCGGGTGCGCGTCGACGAAGCAGCTGCGCAGCTCAGTGTCGTCATCGCTGCTCTCGATGGGCTCCAGGTAGCCGAGCAGCGAGAAGCGGGGGAGGTTTGCCGCGCTGTAGGGCACCGGGTCGTACTCCTCCTCTTCGGCAGCGGGGCCGAAGATGTGCTCGGAGACGCGGGACAGGAAGGAGGAGGAGGACTCGATGCGCTTCGCGGGCGGGTGGGGCGGCGTCCACTGCAGGGCCACGCTGATGTTGCTACCCGCCGCGACGTTCTTGAAGGTTGTGGCGATGCGGATGGCCAGGATCGTCGGGTTGCCGCTGTCCTCGCAGTCGGCGATGTAGTCCATCAGCCCAATGGGGACGTCTTCAAGACCGGTGGGGCGGCGCTCGAAGTGGTGGACATGATGCTCATTCTCGTCGTCGTCGTCGGACGAGTGTGAGGAGTGAGGGAAGACGGTCGACAGTGTCGCGAGCGGTGTCTTTGCGAGGATGCGGCGAGCCTGCACCGCAGACTCGTACGAGGTCGGGATGCGGGCGACTGCTGCACCAGCGTGGTGGTGGTGCGGGTTACCATCCTGGGCCGATGGTGCACGGCCTACAGCTGCGGCGGTTGCATAGCCTATGCTGGTGGCCGAGGAGATGATCAGCGCTGAGAGGGCGGAGGCCTTCATCTTGGAGTACTGCGTAAGCAGAGTTGTTTGAGGTAAGACGAGACACGAAACAGACAGACAGAAGGACGACTGGGGTGTCACCACGGGTGGAGAGAGCAACCTGGAACCTGGACCTGAGGGGGATGCAAGATGATCTGATAAGATAATAAATAGATGGATCCGACGACCGGACAGGCTACGGGAAGCCACAGACCCGCACATGATCCCAGGCGATCCGGCGCTACGCCCGCTTGGGTTCACGGTGAATCGATATTCACATGCACTAGGCCAATACCAAGAGGAGCAAAGAGGAGCAAAGAGGAGCCATGAGGGGATTTTGGTGATTTTCTCACCTAATTAGCAGACGGCTTCCATAATTAACTGACGATTTCTGCTACCGTGATCGGTCCAGCCATGCCCGCGGAGACCTTCTCGGAATCCGATGACTTGGCGATGAAGCTCGTCAAGTAAGAGGCCGAGCTTTAGGCTCTTTGCCTAATAATTTTTCCAAGTTTCCAGGGTAGAAGAGTCTTCGCTAAAATCCTCCCTCAACATCCTGAACGTTCGTTCGTAAGGGGTGAAGGTACTGCACGACGCTGTCACTAGCATGATAATCCTTTACAGCCATGCGGATTCTCCTCCTCACTTGCTATAACTCCACAAACTCGACCAAGAATATTCACTCCTTTAACAAGGAGAGTATCCTTCGCTAACTAACATTTCTTACTTGAAGCAATAATGACGAAGTCCTCTTTGAGCAGGATTTCGCCAGGTGTTCGGCTTACTGGGGTGTTTTTGATCCTTGCGAGTATGGACATGCTAGACCACCATATCGTGAGACCTAATATTCATGCAACTTCGTGTGCCTCTACTTCGAGATAATCTAATCTAGCTTTGAAACGTATTGGTTATCAATCATTTAAACATTGATATGCAGTCATGTGTTCCACGTCTGTGGCGGTGTTCTAGATACACTTCGAGGAAGACATGGTCGGTGTTTTCTGGCACCAACTACGCCTTCATGGACCAGGGCAACAATTAAGGAAATGTAATGAACCACACGGCATCTCCGAAACAACACAACGATTAGGCCATATTGCTGCTATAAAGGGGTCCATGAGTAGCCTGCGGAAGAATACTCTATCAATGACCTTGAAGGGCATCAAGATTTTGTTGCAAAGTCTATCAATTCGAGCGCCACACACATCAAGACACCTCACCTCACGTTCCCTTCTGGCAGCCATCTCTCAACATGAACTCTACCGACCTTTCCATCTGTGTCATCTTCGGCATTGTGGCTGGGTACTTCTATATCGCCGGCATCTATGGTATGGTTGATTGGCTCATGAAATCTTTGGAGAAGCGAGATGTGGTGACAAGTCCTTGCCGAAGATTTATGTGGTCGATTCCATGCGTCCTCGCCGCACTCTTATGGCCCGTCGGACTCGCCGTCGGACTCACCGTTCTTCCCCTCGTTCCATTCGGTATCATCATTGAACGACTGGTTAATCCCCGCCCGAAGGAGAAATCAGCTAGTGAAGACGTGGAACGAAACGAGTCCTCCAACATCGAGCTTGAGCTGGCAAGTCCTTTGCCGGTACACGACCGCCAGGCCTCGACACACCATGCGAACGCTCCATCACCAAAGGACCTTCCGCCATCTTATACGCCAAACATATGACCACAACAATCCTTACGGAGATCTCAGATCACTTCACGTATCTATCGACTGACAACCTGCTCTGCTCGAGTGCGACTAAAACAAAGGAAGGTCACACATTAAAGTGAAAGGGATATATAAGTGCACTGAAAAAGAGCTCAATTATAGCTTGCAAGCTGTTTCAGAATTATAGATCCAAAATACCAAGAGAACTCCAAAGTCTAATCAGCGCCTTTTCGTGATGATGACATACGCTACTGAAGGCCGTGGAACTCAACTACAAAAGCCACTTGAACATGCTGTACGTTCCTCTTAGATATTATGCTGTTTAATTTGAAGCATTATCAGGTCAAGAAAGACACATAGGCACAATTTCTCCGAGTAAAGGAAGATCCCATCAATTAGATAACAAGGTATCGTGAACCACAGACGACCCCAGCATGACGATCTCCTTGTGGAAAATCCTAGAATTGACCAATGAAAACTCGAGCGTCTACAACCAGGTTCCTATACTGGCATGATACATCATATGTGTATTGTGCGATGTAAGAGCCATGATGAATGTTACTGTAAGCCAGCACGGGATTGTTCCGATACCTGTTTGTAGCGAATAGCGTCATCCGCTTTTACGGCCTCCGTCGTCTACGGTATGGTTCCGAAACCTCAACGAACTCCAAGATGCTTTGTCAAGTGACTTCAATTTTTTTTTAAAGATGATATCTGCCGCCAATAATGGATTCTACTCACATAGTTTGAGATGTTCTTAGACGACATTCACTGCTAGAATTCTTGCCGCGTCTCTCACCATGATCACCCAAATCGAGGAAGCTACTGCCACAGTTTCAAAACACCATCCATTCTTGTCAACAGCGTTTGTTGTTTTCATCATTTTATTAATTCTCCTGGGAGCCATTGCCGAATACTTCAAGTCTGTAGGTAAACTGACGGGGAAGAATGGAAAGCCTCCACGGCTTCGTCCGGGGCCTCGTGGCTTGCCCATCCTTGGAAATCTAATGGCCTTGAAACAAGGCCGTCATGATTCAGGACACGAGCTTGTCAGATATGATACCGCCCCTATTGCTTGAAAGTCGGCTAAGAAATTTGTAGCTTTTCGAAATAGCATGCCGAAGGCATTATACCTGCAGGTATTCGAACGAAGAGCGGCATCATCTAGACTGATGTTATTATTCTTGCTAATGGCTATGTGACGAATGAATTCCTCACCAATATTGATGTTGTCGGACGTGAAGGGCCCCCACAGATCACTGGAAGTCGTTTGATGGTGCCGAAGCATACAATTGCTCTGTCATGAGCGGCTTCCCTAATTTCTTCATTCTGCTTGGTAAGTATTGCGTTGTCTACTTTTCTTCAGTACTATCTAAGCTGAATATCTCTTGTCTACAAGGTCCCAACGCTGCCACGGGACACACCACTGCAATGATGGCGGCCGAGAATTCCATCAACTACGCACTTCGTGTGATCAAGCCAATTCTCGATGGACATGCCAAAACTCTTCAGCTCAGACGGGAGGCGGAAGAGCGCTACGTTTCTCGCGTCCAAGATGACTTGGCTAAGACGGTATGGAATTCAGGATGCTCGAGCTGGTATGTTGGGAAGGATGATGAGGCAGTCTTGCTGTTTCTGCTGTCGAGATACTCGGGGGACTTGCGATTGTATAAGCCGTGAGTTGAGAAGAGGTTGGCTTGGATGATTAGTCTCGACAATGGAAAACAGTGATACATAGTTTCAAAGGGATATTCAACCTTCTCGAGAGTATTTAGTGTAATTTACATGTTTCATAAAACAATCGATAAGAACTAGCACGGCCACAAGAGTTCAAAACTTGAAGCACTGGCTTGCTTTGTACGTCCTTGCTGTTCAGGAACTCTCTGGAGCATTCAAAGGAGCCTCGGCTGTTGTCTACAGGGGAAGGCCGCTAAACACCTGATCCCCCTGCCGCTTGAGTCGTTGCAGGTTTACCAGTAACATGATTGGCTCCACTGCCAGAAATCCTCCCCGTCGCATCCGTGCCCGTCCTCCGTCCTCCGTCCTCCGACCGCCGACTCGTCACCCATACATATTCTCTATTCTCGACAATACGCACATTCACATGCAACGATTGATCTGACCTGAGCTGCGCTGGACTTCATTTAGCACGAGGAGGCATGAAGAGGATCGCCCACGCTATACACGCTGTGAACCGCCGCGATGGCATCCGAAAACCGCGAGCGTCAACGGCGCCGCAAGATCACCCTCGCATGTGAGCCCTGCAGGGAGCGTAAATCGCGTTGCGATGGCAGAAAGCCCATCTGCTCCACATGCGAACACCGCTCGCTCGGCCTTGAACAGTGCATCTACAAGGTCGGCAATGCTCGAACCGCCTGCAGTGATGAGTATAGCCACTCAATCCCCTGAGACTTAGATCTCACTCCTCGCTAATTCGGCTTTAGCTACACAAAAGCGCTACATGAGCGCATTCGCAAGTTGGAGCATGCATGTGCCATGGCTGGCGTTGATATTAGCTTCATTGAGGGAGCTGGGCCAGCAACATCCGTCCATTTGGCAGCGCATCAGGACGTCAACAGAAAAAACTCGCCGAATGGTCGCAGCCCATCGGTGTTAGCCATTCTTGACAGGCGCTCAGAACAGCATAAGACCTCATCTAGCAGCTCACCAGATGCAGTTGACGCGGCCGAAAATGCAAGCGGCCTCACCGCAATGGGCACGGTCCTGTCAGAAGAAGACTTGGACGAGTCGGCCCGCGCAATGGACGACTTCTATGGCCGGTCCTCTGCAGCCTCGTTCTTGAAAGAGGCTACTGGTTCGATGCGACGTGAGCTCGATAGCCCGACGAGACAGATCCCTCGTGTCCAGACAGGCGCCTTGAAGCCCGGCACTTTCTCTAAGATGGCCGACATTGACAAGTTCGTTCTGCCCCCTCGAACGCTTGCCGACCATTTCATGCAAAGATATTGGCAGAGGGTCTATTATCTCTACCCCTTCTTTGACAGGGTTGCATTTGAGCAAGCGTATCAGAGTCTATGGAAGTCAGAAAGCGAGAAGTCAAAGGAACCCCTGCTGCTGCGCGGCCTCGGTCTTGGAGGTGCCGAAGCAGATGCCAGCTCCATCGTTTTCCACTGCGCTCTGAATGCTGTCTTTGCGCTGGGCTGTTGTTTCTCTGATCTCTCTAGCCAAGAAAAGTCAGCCGCCATAGAAGTCTTCTTTCATCGGTCGAAAGGATTTGTTGGTCTGGATCTCCTTGATCAGAACAATCTTGGCGTTGTTCAAGCTCTTCTCGTTGTTGCGCTGATCCTCCAAGGCACGCCGTTTCCAAATCGCTGCTGGAGTGCTGTCGGTGTTG